CCAGTCTGGACTGTGCCAGACCCTTTACCACCTGGCATGCTCCCCCTCATGTCAGCTCAAGTCCCATCGCAGCACACCAAGCTTCATCATGGTGTTTGTGAACCTGCACGGCTCCCTCTCACTTCAGGAACTCTTGATTAAACACTTCACATGCATGCTAAAGCACATGCAGCATTTGGTAATTATTTAATTTCTGATTACATATACTCAGGGCTAGTCACTGAGCAGAGAGGTTGTCCAAGTTCCTGAACTCTGGAGGAGTCCAAACGATTTTCCCTACTTCCGCACTAGACTTCATCAAAAGAATCTGAGTAGGAGCAGCTCCCAATAAAGACATTTCTCTTCAAACATTAACTCCATCCCTGGGAGGCATATCAACTTTCAGAACAGTACTCCTACGCACCTGAGACTTTTAAGAGCAGTAAATATTAAAAATATTATGCAACACTTACTTAGTAAGGAAAGAGTATTCGAAAAAGCTCTTCTAAAACACTTCCGAACTGGAGCAACTTATTGCGTAGCTCCTGACAATGCATACAGATTTAAAAAAGAAAAGAAAAAAAGATGACTATTCATTAAGGTTTTAAACAGCTATGAAATATTTGTCATGAGAAATCTGTACTTTTTGTAGAAAAAAAAAAAAAAGCCCTGCTTCCCCACGCAACAGAACACACAGGTGGAAAGCAGAACGCAGACACAACGTTTTAAGAAATCTGCCAGCATGGAGCTGCGCTGGCATTTGCCACGAGCCAATGTTAAACTATATACATTCTAAGACTGCTGCTGCATAACAAACCACTGTCTCTAGTCCACTACCCTACTCTCAGACATCTTAGAGATGCAGCTTTCACGTCAAGTAATTTTTGAAGTATTGCTTCTTTCAAAGCCTGACTCTGCTGAACAGATGAACTAGAGGCCAGATGCACTGTATGTTTTTAGGGTATTTAGTGACACAGAGTGCATTCTGGCTGTACAAGAGGAGAAGGGGGGGAAAAAAGCAAAAAGCCCAGGAGAAACGTGGAATGTTAGTTTCATTATTGATATTTTTTTTTTAAAAAGGAAAAAATAAATAAATCAGGAACTCCTTCCTCAAACCATACCGAATTCTAGCAAAGCACAGAAGAAAGATGTGACAGTAATTAGGAGATGTCAGGTACAGCTAGCTATGATGCAGTCTTCTCAAGCTGCTCTGTTCCCATTCCCCCAGCTCTGCTGCACACAGCGTTTATATTCCTGCACAGGTTGAGGTGTGGGAGAGGAGGGACAGCTATGCCATGACGCAGCCTCTGAGTAACTCCCATATGGCAGAACTGGAAACAATTGCAAGATAGTTTATGTATTCAGTGCCATGACAACTTTTAACCAGTAGCATATTAAACTTTTGCTATGGTACAACACAATATGGGAATAAAAAAATAAAGGACGATTTCATCAAGGTTGAGAAGAGTAACCCAAAACTGCATGGGAACTCAGCCGCAGCAGCAAACCAGTAAGTTAACGAAGTGACGCATGGGAAAGTCGCTTCCTGCACCAGTGGTGCACTGGACTGTGCAAGAAGCTTCAGTTCTTGCTTTTCAATAGGTCCAAATGGTGGAAAGTTGGGAAGCAGAAGAACACAAGCTCAAACCTGCTCCTTACCAAACCAAAGCGGAGGGTGATCCTTCTGCCCCTCTGCATGCGGAGCTTCTCTGTCTGAGGTGGACAAAGCTTATGTTACACAGTAAGGGGGCAGGCAAAACATACTTTTCCATACCATGACAAAGCCACTGAAAGACCCAGCACTACGTTACTCCTGCAAAAGCAACAGTATGAAGACAATCCCTTCATTGCTGCACTTTCACACTGTTGCAAGTGACCAAGCTCATTCTTGCCAAGGCTCATCGCCAGTTAGTGAAGGCACCATAACAGACCCCATGTGCACTATGCCTTCTCCTCCAACACGAAGTACGTTGGCTTAGCTTTTTACTACTCAAAAATAGCTATAACACAACTAAAATGATCTTCTTTACTCCCCAAACCTCAGAATAGCAAAAAAAGACCCTGGAGGGAACTGAGCATTTATTTCAGTAAAAGCTGGAGCAGTGGAAGTACTCACCCATCTGAGGGAAACCAATGCAAGACACTCATCTCTAGCTGATAAAACAGCACTGAAGTAACAGACCCCACGTGCACTCTCCCTTCTCCTCCAACATGAAGTACGTTGGCTTAGCTTTTAACTACTCAAAAATAGCTTTAACACAACATAACGCAACTAAAATGATCTTTTTTACTCCCTAAATCTCAGAATAGCAAAAAAAAGACCCTGGAGGGAACTGAGCATTTCATAACAGACCCCATGTGCACTATGCCTTCTCCTCCAACACGAAGTACGTTGGCTTAGCTTTTTACTACTCAAAAATAGCTATAACACAACTAAAATGATCTTCTTTACTCCCCAAACCTCAGAATAGCAAAAAAAGACCCTGGAGGGAACTGAGCATTTATTTCAGTAAAAGCTGGAGCAGTGGAAGTACTCACCCATCTGAGGGAAACCAATGCAAGACACTCATCTCTAGCTGATAAAACAGCACTGAAGGAGAAGAAAACTAAAATAGAATCAGGTGCTTCCTATAGCAGAAACCGAAGCGCCAGGGGACCGCAGCACAGCAGAGCGGCCCGCTGCCTCTCACAAACCACAGTCACTGCAACTTTTCACCCCTGTGTTCACCTCCAAATGTTTGTCACCCTGCAGCTGCAGCCAGCCTGAGCACCTAAGACAAGAATGAGCACCTTTGCGGGTCCTGCAAACACTTCTTTTCAGCACATGGCTCCATACTCAGGGAGAAGGCCTTCCAGCTTGTCAGCAGCAGATCTGTTTGGCTGCCTCTTCATCAGGGGGACTGTGAAAAGCCTGAGTGAAAGCAGAACATAGACTGACATGTGTTATGCTATGGCAAACCAGCTGGATGTCTAATGTGCCCGTTAACTCAACTGGGCTGCTGTTATCCACCTGTGTAACCTGCTAAGTTAGACCTGATTGCAGCTGCCCTCAGAAGGCATGACCTCCCCTGCAGAGGAGAGGTGTCACCCACTCTCTTCAGACAAAATGAGACACAGCTGTAAAACCTCACACTCCCCAACCTCCCCCAAGAAGACAGCAAGCCAAGAGGTAGTTCACTGCATACAGCTTCTCTGATCCCAGCCTCAACATCCACCTATTTTCCCTCCAAATCCAGAATTACTGTTGTACTCCCACTTTAGCTAAGGGGAGCACTCTCTATCCACTTGCTTGTTGTGGTACATTCATAATGCAATTCAAGTAGGAAGGGACCTAGGGACCTCCACACATTATTTTTCTCAAAATAAAGTACTCTTGCCGAGGAGAGTTCAAAAGGCTACTTCTTCTCTTCCAGGAGTCACACACTCTTTTTTAAACTTTTTAAAAGTATATGTCACCGAATTTCAATGAGCTTTCACTAAAATTAAAAACAGTATGAGTGACTCATCCTGATGGAGCATGCTCCAGAGTTGTCTTGCTAATGATAAAGCCATTGAAAAGCCTAAAACACTACCTAGTCCTTTTAAGATACTCCTTAATCCTAAAATATTAAGCACTTTTTAATAGATTTATATTTCTATGGGACTGTCTGGGTAGGATTTACAGCTCAATGCATTTAAGAGGTCTTTGGAATGATCACAAAAATTAAGTTTGGTACTAGTTCACCTCAACAGGAAAGACCAAATATTTAAATACATTATTAATCTACACATTGAAAACCACACCCGGGTCCCTCCCTGTGATTACTTCACCCATCACACTGACCTACACAAATACCCACGCAGTACCACAAACCCATTCAGCTGAGATAAATTACATGACGCCAGCACAGAGGGTATTTTTCACAGAAGTTATCTTTAGCACTAAGCGAGGATCACCTACCTACAGTGCTTTTTACAGCCAGTGACGAAAGGTGTCCCCAGAAACAAACCCGATTCTGGCTGCATCTGAACTGCAGGACTCTGTTGCTTCTGGCACCACATGCACATCCCGACAAATTCTTGACCGCATGCCAGGAGAAGACCAAAATATCACTGTTCCCTTCCTCAAAAGGCATCTATCTGCTTCATTTTGGGGGAAAAAATGGAGGACACAAGAACTATCAAACTCTCCATAGTGTGGTTCAATGTCCCAAAGACTGACAGTCTGGAGCTAGCGAGTACTCTACAGAGAATTAGGAATGATATCCTTCTCTGAATGGCTCTTTCAAAGGCTGGATCTTTTTCCCGAGTTGACAAAGAGAAAATCCAGGAAATCAGTCTTCTCTACCTATTAGCCTTTGCGAATACTCTCACCCTACCAAAGGTGTCTGTTGCAGTGACACAGTTCAGAGATTTGACTCCATTTTAAGAAAGGCTAAAAGCTCTCTTCATACAGCATTTTTCTGTAAACTTCTTAATTAGGCATGTTATTATTTTAGACAGCAAATAAAATATAGAAACGTTGTTGTGTTTGTAAAATATGGTGAGTAAATGTACAGATGAAGCCAAGTATTCAAGTGAATCAAACTTCTCATTTCAAATGTAGCGAGTTTCTGTCACTTTCAGACTGACTACTATCCAAGGCAAATATAAACAAAATGGGGATTTCCACAAAAAAAACAGACTACACTTTACAGAAAATACATTTACACTGTGCTTATTAGAGACTTTTCCATAACCAAGATGGATATTCTTCCAGATACCTTTGCATGTAAACGTCAACCCAAAATATGCTTTCTTATACCACAAACATTTAAAAATGTATTTTAAAAAGCTACGTAGTACAACAGCCCAGTTTGACCACACTGGAAATATCACAAAAGCTTGTCTGTTCAAAGGTACTAGAATTATCAGTTCACAGACACCACACGTAAGTGAAATTTTAGCATGCTACTTTTTAAGTATGACCAATAAAAGTTCAGAACTAGCTGGATTGCGTCACTGTTTCCTGCTTGTGAAGAGGAGCTATTTTAGCTAAGTGAAGCTGAGCAGAGAAGAGGAAGTCTAGATCTTCTACAGCACTGGGGCTATGAAAGGAGCATCTCTGAAGAAACTTTGTAGAGCACCAAAGGTGAGTAACAGCCTGTTATACTATTCCAACAAAGTTAACTTGGATGTTTATGTATGTTGTTAAGATAGACTTCTTTCTTCAGAAGCTGAACATGGACATTTATTCTATAGGACCACAGAATAGTCCCGGCTGGAAGGGACCTTTAAGATCATTGAGTCAACCGTTATGAAAACAACTTTAATTCTTTAACGCACTTTCAACGTATCAGCAGCATCCTATAAATAACATATAAAGCAAAATGACTGCATTTGTAAAAGCATGGTACCATAAATACTGTTGTTTAGGATTTTAACAATAAATTTTAAAATATGCAGTAACAAAAAGCACCGGTAAGTACGTTATCACTAAAAGAAAAACTAAAACCAGGAGAAGATCTTGTTGTTTGATCTCTCTCTGCTTCACTGAAAGCCATGTCTTCTTCAGGGAAGTGTGAGCAAATGTAAGGGACAGTCAAAATAAAAAAAAAAAAGGGGGGGAGAACTGGGAAGAAAGATACACACACAATTCTTTAAATGGAGTCTCTGTTGCCTAACTCTTAATAAGAATCTGGAGGAAAAGATTTAATTCTGGGTTTGTTCTGGAAGCCTTTGTTCTTGTCCACAGCACCTAGATGGGCTTCACATACACATTAGACATTCAGAACCTCAGCTATTATTAAAAAATTAAAACAGATTGATAAAATGTATGGACCAACATCACAGTAATCATTTACAATTAACACAGACAGACATCCAGAAACCAGTGACTCTAGGGGCTCTTCAGCAGGCACTTTAATCAATACCAGTAAGTAAGCGTTCCCATTATGAAAAATGGCAACTAGGGCAAAACCATCCACCCAGAGGCACCCAAAGGTCTACTTAGGCTGACCTGGAAGGTATCAACATGAACTCCATGCAGGTGACTACTGATGAAAAAGCAGAACATCTGCATTTGCATATAAATGTGCAAATCTCATTATTTCTTACCTACATAAATGTTAAAATTTTAGATTCTTACATATTAAATTTAGGAGAAATACCTAATTCTAACACTGACATGCATTTAAACCAACAACATTTGGAGACAGCGTCTTCAACAACTAAGCAACCCTCCTTCCTCCCCTCCTTTTTGTAACAGTAGGTCCATTATTTGATATATCTCAAAACTGGCACAAATTTGAACTAACCAGCAAACAAGGCATGGAACCACAGGTTCTTCTGATAGAAGCTTATGCCAGATTCAGCTTCCCCTCTTCCCATCAACAACAGCCTACTGGTTATTTCAGAAACAGGACCTAACTAGCAACAATTACAGTCACTGCAAGTCAAAAGGAGAGAAGAGCAAAACCAAAACCAAGATTCATGCTGTTCATTAACAATTTGGAGATTTTCAAGACCCGCCTGGATGCAGTCCTGAGTAACATGCTCTGACAAACTCTCGGTGGTCCTGCTTTAGCAGGGGAGTTGGACTAGATGATCTCTATGGTTGGTCCCTTCCAACTCTAAAAATTCAGTGAAATTCAGTGAAATTAAGATACATCTATAAAAAGTGAAGTCTTCCACCTATCCTATACATTACCACTCAGTTCACCTGCTATATCAGTCAGGGTCTTGAGATAGGTAGTCATGCACTGCATCATACACAACCACTAGCAAGAGAAAAAAAAATTGGGAAAAAAAAAAAAAAACAGGAAAAAGCACTTAAAATATGTGTGTGTGGTGTGTGTGTTGAGCAATATTTGGATTTTATGCAACAGTAAGGGCAGCGGGACAGTGTACCAGACAACATTTCAACTGTGCTACAAGCATGTGCTACAAACATTTTCTTTGAAGCATATGCCATCTACCTTTCAATAAGGTCTGCTATCGAGATTTAATTTTTTTATCTTTAGTATTCTTCACACAATGAGCATTCATACAGATGCCCTCCAAACCTCTTTTTCTGTCAGCACTATAAGCACAGTTTCTCCCATACAAAACATAAATTCTGTTATATGTTCTAATGACCTTATCTGACCAGAAAACGCACCTTTTTGTTTTGTACAGCTAATAAAAGATCTTTGAGAGAAATTTAGGGCTAGATACTTGTAAGCATTTTTTTTTTGTATCTGTAAACTGGAGAGCTGTAAGAAAATCAGAAGTCCAAACTTCATATTTCAAGGCAGAAAGTAACCTGAAAAAAGATTTAAAAGATTTAAAATTTAACCCTTAAAAAAGGTCATATTTAAGTCAGTTACTCCATTGATACTCTTCTCAAAAGCAGCTGATCCTGGAAAGTGTCAAACCGGAACACTAGATTAAAAAACACTGGTTCAATCCACTATGTCTTCCTAAACCACTGAAAAAGGTACCTGGTAACATTACAGTGAAAGCATAAACCAGATGAGCAGTAACAGTAAGCTTTTATTTAATGCATTCTCCACTTTTGGAGATAAAACACACAGGAACTATGTACTCTTCTGCTCTTGAGTAGAGTTTTGGTGCCTAACTGATGCTGTAGAAGTTACTTGGCTGTCTGTCACAACTGGCAAGATCAGACAACTAATTCTTTCCTCCTCCTCTTCTTCTCAAAGCTGCCACAGGGCTGGATAAAAGGCCAAAGAGCAACCCTCCCATGCACACTCATGAAACTGTGACCACAGCAAGAGCCGGGAAAGTGTGGGTGTGTGGGTGTCTGCAGGTGACCCAAAGCACCCATGCAAACACCAGGTAAGGTCTGCCATCCTCAAACAGCTCCAGAGTAAACCAGAGGATAATCTCTTTCAGCTGTCATCACCAGAGTCTGCATAGTGACGTCTCAGATGTCCAACCCCTACAGCCATGAAGCAGAGAGAAGCAGCACAACTGTCCTCTGGGGCAGCTGGGTACCAGACAGCAACTTTTCCCCCCAAAAATACACTTCACACAGGTCTTGGTTGAAGACTGTGCTGCTTCCCATCTTTTTACTGTTTTAACTAGGAAGTTTATCAATCTGCCAATCTATTAATCTCATTCATATGTCAGGTGGTTGGTTCTGACACCCTGGGATTAATCTGAAGCTACATAGCTATTAAGGTAGCTTTTTAAATTCCTTTTATGAGCAACAGCATGCACCTATTCTTTTGGGAGCTAAGTAGTTCCTTACACAGATAAAATGCAAAGTCAATACTTTACTTTGCATATCCAGATGTCACTACATGCCATGCTCACTTATTTCTTTTTATAACTAGGTTTAGTCATTAATTTTTCAACAGGGACAACTTGAAGAAATATTTTCTTTAGAAAACAGGTCTCTTACCTCAGTTACAACAGTTTGAATCTAACTATGAGCTACTAAAGCACACTAAAAGTAGCTGATCACTCTTGACTGTTTGATTCCTTATTTAAAAATATTCCTAATTAAAAATATTTAATTAAAACTAGCTTATAAATACTATTTCTCATAAGTCTGACAGTTCATACTTGTACTTCCTTCAAAGCACAATAATGTATTTGTAGTCAGAAAAAGCAACAAAGCTAGCACATTTTCACAGCTAAAAAAATACAATCACTAAACCACATCCTACAACATCTTGTTTGTTTCTAAGGAAAGTTTTTATTTGACGGAGAGTAACTTTTCGTATTTTATCTATTTTCAGGGTATTTATGGAGTGCAACAACTGTTCCTAAATTCAATTAAAATATGATGCCTGGAAATCAGCACCCTGAAGAATACAGGATTGCATCACTGGTCTTCTACAGCTTTGTATTCGCAGTGGGATTGTTGGTGAATGCCACCGCGCTATGGGTTTTCAGCTGCACTACCAAGAAGAGGACAACGATAACTGTATATATGATGAATGTGGCATTACTTGACATAATTTTTATATTTTCCTTGCCTTTTCGGATAATCTACCACGGGAAAGAAACATGGCCTTTTGGAGATACATTCTGTCGGATAATCAGCGCTTTCACGATATTTTATCCAGCCATTGCTCTGTGGTTGCTCACTTTCATAAGCGTAGACAGATTTATGGCTATTGTCCAGCCCAAACATGTCAAAGAACTAAAAAATACAAAAAAAGCTGTGCTGGCTTGCACTGGAATCTGGATAATGACCCTCGCAACAACATCCCCATTGCTGTTTTTACGATCTGATCCAGACCAAGCCTCGAATTTCACCACGTGCCTGAAAATGCTTGATATCATCCATTTAAAGGAAGTGAATACATTGAACTTTTCTCGCTTGATATTTTTCTTTTTGGTTCCCTTGTTTATCATGATGGGGTGTTACCTAGTTATAATCTACAATTTTATCCGCGGCAAGACTTCCAAATTGAAGCCTAAGGCTAAGGAGAGATCCATAAGAATTATAGTTACTCTGATTGCCCAAGTACTCCTCTGCTTTGTACCCTTCCACATTTGCTTCGCCCTCCTGATGTTGCAGGATGAAGGTACAGCTTACAATCCCTGGGCAGCCTTTACCACCTTTCTCATGAATCTCAGCACGTGCCTGGATGTTATACTCTACTATATTGTCTCTAAACAATTTCAGGCGAGAGTCATCAGCGTAATCCTTTATCGCAATTACCTTCGAAGCGTGCGCAGGAAAAGTTTTCGAACTGGGAGTGTGAGGTCACTCACTAATATCAACAGTGAAATGATATAAAAAGAGGGGAAAAAAAACTCAGGGGTTTATCCTTCTTCTGAAATCTAGCATTTTTACTGCACTGGAAAATGTTCTATAGCAAGAAGAAACAGATATGTTTGTTGCACTGTAAGTATGAGAGAAGCAGAATAATAATTGCACCTCTTTATATGTGCTCAACAGCTTTTGCAAACCTGACATGAACCAAAACCTAGTATCAGTGTTAAACTATCCAATGCCTTTGTCATCTCAAAAGACTTTGAATATTGCCAGACATGAAATAGTGACTACTAATATAATAAAGCAGACAAGACTGACAAATTCTGATGCAATGTATATATTCATTTCTTATATTTGCACAACCAAACGCTCCTGAAACTACTGTATATCCCACGCTTCTAAAATTACCTTCATTCTCTCAAGATCAACGTTAGCATGACTTAAAGGGAAAGCATATATAACATTTATATTTCATTCAACTAAAAACTTCTTTGATGTAGATTTCTTTGTAATTGACAACACTCTGCAGTCACAGATAAAAATACCATCAAAAGGTATAATAGTCAAACTGTTCATTAGTTCCCTGTGGGTGTGATGTGCACATTTACTACGCCTTACTCTTGTACAAAGTATCTTTTTACACAAAGTACTGAATTTGTCCAGACACACCAGCAGCCCACGTCCCAGCTACAAACGTCAAGGTATCAAACATGATGAATAACTGCAGTACTACTCGAGCTTTCCACTCCTTTTCAATACTCACACGCTACAAAAATATGTCTTCATAACGCCAAACATATGCTTGTTGGTCCTTATTAAATCAGCCTTTAAGAGACACACTAAAAAAGTAGAAGCAAAAAAAGCCTAGCAGGGTGTTCAGTATTAAAACTTTGCTCCAAGAGCTTTTATTAAGGCCTCAGGGTGTGCAACACATGGAAACTCAAGCCTGTATGAGGCTGATGTCGCTTGTCAGAAGCTTAATCACAAAGGCACTGCAAGCTCTATGATTTACTGTAACATGTACAACTCTTATAAATGCAGAAATCTCAAATACAGATTATGCAAAACTGAACCACTCAATAAACCACCTTAAAGTTTCAAAAACTTCAAATGCAAGCCCTAAATGGAATAACACGCTCTAGCATTTAAAAGTGAACATAAAGATATTAATTAGTTGTGCCGTCTTTGTGTTTTAAGAAAGAAATCAGCACCAACCTCATTTCAGTTTTCAGATTTACCAACTTGAACAAAAACAAACACAGCAATAATCTGTGCACTGCAAGTCATGTTTCAATCATGCTGATAGTGGAAATCGGACTAACAGAATGGAAAGTAATCATTAACGGATAAATAATAAATTAATTAGCCACCAATCACAACTAGGAAATGAGTGTTTGCAAATATATTAGTTGTGCCAAGAACCTTTACACTGTAGTTCAAAATTGTATATGAATTTAATTTAATTTGAAGGGTTACACAAAGAAGGTTGCGGGTTTTTTAAATAAAAATCTGCACAAAATAATCCCTTGAAACCAATTTATAAGGATCTACTTACAAACCAGAAGGCAAGCTGTTGATGGTGATGCCAAATATATACTGAGTGATTTCTACAAGGAGAAGATCAAACAAAGCTGAGAGCATCCAAGCACCCAATAAAAAGGACTGGAAAGAAAAAGTTTTGTTTTAATTAATTCAACAGTTTAAAAACAAGGTTTTAACATATCTCTAAATAAAAGAAGAAAAAAAAAAGAAAATCACTCTATAATTCAATTAAGACAAATAAAATCTTTAGCACAACATAATTCCACATCCATGTGTCTAGATACTGAAAAATGAAGAGTTAGATTTGTTATCAAAATTAAATTCTATGGGTCTGATAACTTTCAACTGATACAGCTAAAACTTTAATTAGAATAATCCACTGACTGCAAGATATTATCAACAGAAATGTAGATTTATGGAAACCAAATTCTCTTTAAAACCCTTTAACATAAATTTCTATACAAAATATTAGCAATAATGCTGCAATATTAACCCAAGACTACAAGACTCTAAACAGTGTAGAAAACAGTTTCTGTTTAGAAAAATGTAACTGGAACTTACCGAAAATTTTCTGCTGCCATATCTTCTTTCAAATATTCTAAAGTTGTAAATGAGCAGACTGCTGCAGAATGTGTCTTTCAAGTCAAGACATATTGTTCTCCCACATACAAGTCTCCAAATCTAGAAGGTTAAAGATTGTCATGTTAAGTCTCTCTTCCTTCAAGAAAATTCTTTACAGAATTTGTGCTCAGAGTGAATACCAAATTCAGACAACAGGAATGCAGTACATTTAAGGAGGGAAATAAAGAGAGTAGAATGCTATGGAGAGTTCAAGAAGTCTGTTTAAAAATAAAATATTCCCAAGGAAGAGGTCTACCTGTTAAAATAAATCTACAATTGAAATTAAATAGTACCAGTACTGATCTTTGAGGGGCTCTCCCTTAATTAATACCTGCCAATTGAACTTTGCACTAATGACCATAACTCCATAGAGAATCCAGTCAATTCTCCACCCACCTTCTTGTCCAGTTACTCAGCACACACCTCACCAATTTGACTTCAAGGATACAATGGGAGAGTGGGTTAAAGGCTCTGCTAAATTTCAGTATGCAAAACCCACTGACTCCCCCCGTCTGCATGTCTGCATCACCCCTTGCCTCATGGAAGAAAGCAACCAGTTGGTCAGGCATGTTTTCATGGAATCATAGAATGGTTGAGGTAGAAAGGGACCTCTGGAGATCACCTGGTCCAACATCCTCACTGAAAACGAAGTCAGCTAGAACAGGATGTTAGACGACCATGTCCTTTAATACCTCCAAGGATGGAGACTACACAATTTCTCTGGGGAAACTGTTCCTCTGTTCCATCAATCTTACAGTAAAAAAAAGCTTTTTCTCTAAATGGGATTTCTTATATTTGTGCCCACTGTGTCTTGTCCTTTCACTGGGCCTGGCTGCCTCCTCTTTGCTCCTTCCCATCACATATTTACACACACTGGTAAGATCCACCCTTAACTTCTCTTCTCCAGGCTAAACAATCTCAGCTCTCTCAGCCTCTCCTCATATGTCAAACACTCCAGCCCCTGACCATACTGGTGGCCCTATGTTGGACCCTCTGCAGTATGTCGAGGTCTATTGTGTGCTCAGGAGTCCAGCAAAAGTGACAGGACTCCAGATGCAGTCTCACCGAAGCTGAATAGAGAGGAAGGATCACCCCACCAGGCATCCTTGTGAGGTTCCTCCTAATGCAGCCCAGGATGCTGTTGGCCTTTTTAGCCACGACGCTGCAGTGCTGGCTCATGGTCAGCTTAGTCTCCATTAGGACCTCCAGGGCCTTTTCTGTAAAGCTGATTTCCAGCTGGTCAGCCCCCAGCCTGTACAGGTGCATGGGGTTACTCCTCTCCAGGGGCAGGACTTTGCACTTGCCTTTGCTAAACATCATAAGATTCCTGTTGAGCTTTTTTCCCCCCTCCGAATGGCAGCAGAACTAACTGGTGTATCAACTAGTTTTACACCATCCACAGGTTTTTTGAGAGCACACTCTGTCCTGCTGTCCAGGTTATGAATGAAGACACTAAGTAGTATTGGCCCCCATATTCATCCCTGGTGTACACCACTAAAGACTGGCCTCCAGCTGGACTTTATAGCACTGATCACAGCCCTGCAAGCCCGTCAATTCAGCCAGGTTTCAATCTGCTTCACTGCCCACTTATCTCATCTGTACTTCATCAGTTTGTCTGAGGATGTTACGGGAGAGAAGTGTAAAAAGTTATACTAAGGTCAAAGTAAACAACATCAACTTTTCTTCCCTCACCCATCAGGACAGTGATCTACCTCATCACAGAAGGCTATCAGGTTAGTCAAGATTTCCACTTCATTAATCTGTGCTGATTACACCTCATCACTTTATTCTTCGAGTGCCTGAAAATGATTTCTAGGAGGATTTGTTTCATCACCTTCCCAGAGATGCAGATGATGCTGACTGTCCTGTAGTTCCTCAGTCTCCTTTGTTGCCTTTCCTGAAGATAGGAACGACATCTGCTTTCTTCCAGTCCTCAGGAACCTTCCTTGATTGCAATAGGCTTTCAGAGATAACCCATAGTGGCCTCACAGTGACACAAGCCAACATGCATATCATCAGGTTTTATGGACGTGTGTTACGTCTAGTTAGTTTAAATGTTCCCCAGCCTGATCCTCCTTCAGTGAGTTTAAGCCTTTGGTGCTCTAGACCTTTGCACTGATCTCAGGGGTCTGGGACTGCTGAAAGCAAGTCTTACTAATAAAGAACTGAGGCAACATCAGCACTGGATACCTCAGCCTTTTCCTAATCCACCCCTGCATGCTCAGACATTGTCTCCATATTCCTCCCAGGTCAGTTGATCTGCTTCCACCTCTTGCGTGCTTCATTTTTATGTTTGAGCTTAGTCAGGAGCTCCTCGTTCATCCATGCATGCCTTCTGACACCTTTTCCTGACTTCCTGCATACTGTATGAGCCATTCTTGAGCTTGGAGGACATGATCCTTGAAAACCAACCAGTCCTGCTGGTACACTCTTTTTTCCACAACAGTATCCCATAGGAGTCTTCCAAGCAGATCCCTGAACAGGCCAAAGCCCACTCTCCTGAAGTCCAGGGTTGCAATCCTGCAATTCGCCTTGTACCTTCCTTTCAGGACCCTGAACTTCATCTCATGGTCACTGCAACAAGGTTGCCCCTGATATTCACATGCCCAACCAGTTCTTCCTTGTTTGTAAGTATGAGGTCCAGACACAACATCTCCCATCAGCAGCTCCTTGATCCTCTGTGTTAGGAAGTTGCTATCAACGCACCCCAGAAACCTGCTAGAAAAACCTGCTTGTGCCCTGCTGTGTTGCCCTTCCACCACTTATCAGGTTGGTTAAAGCCCTCCATAAGAGCCAGAGCCTGAAATAATGAGGTTTCTTCCAGATGTCTGAGGAACACCTCATTTACCTCTCCGTGACCAGGTGGCCTGCAGCAAACACCACCACCAAAGTTGGCTGTGTTGTTCTGTCCCCTAATCCTGACCCGTAAACTCTCAACTTCCTCATGTCCCAAGACAAAGCTCTGTGCAGTCCTGTTGCTCTTTCACATAAAGAGCAATTTCCTGCCTTGACTGTCTTTCCTAAAGAACTTGTATCTGCCTGTTGCAGCACTCCCATCACATGAGCTAACCCACCACATCTCCATGACCCCAATGAGGTCGTAACCCTGCAGTGGCATATGACCTCTAACTCCTCTTATTTGTTCCCTATGCAGCAGGCACTAGTGTACAGGCACTTCGGAGAGGCACCCAGTCATACTGATTTCCCAAAAAACGTATTGGGGTGTTTCACATAATGCTGTCCCGTAGCCACTTCCTTATTTACGTGCGTACACTTAAAGTAGGCGCCTTTCAGTCCTATTTTGCTGATTACAAGATCCCTTCTGTTCACATCACTCTATAGCCTTAGCTGGCTAAACCAGCCCCTTGCCTACTAACCTGACTCTCCCTCCTGTGCTGTTCCTGTCTTAAAGTCCTCACCAGGTTGGCCAGCCTGTTAGCAAAGATGCTTTTGTCCCACTTGGTTAGGTGGATCCCATCTCGTCCAAGTAGTCCTCAGAGGCACAAAACACCGTTGCCCACACCAGCTGTGCAACCAATTGTAACCCACAGGATCTGCCCACTTCACCATGGTTGGCTGCTCCCAGTCACCTTTGTGCCCTGCACATATTGAGAAATGGCTTCTAAAAAGATTTGCTCCGTGAACTTCCTAGGGAGCAAGGTAAGGCTGAGTGGCCTGATGTTACCTGGATTTTCCTTCCTGCCCTTCCTGAAGACAGCTGTGACATTAGCTTTTCTCCAGTCATGACCTTCTTTCTGCCAAGACCTTTCAAAGATGCTAGACAAAGGTCTCACAATTATACTCCCGGCTCCTTTGGCATCCTCAGAGGTAGCCCATCTGGGTTAAGTGATCCCTATCTCTATTTCTCTCAATGGTGGATACTGCTTCACTCTCGCAGACTCTGCTAGGAGGTTTAGGCACCTTGGAGGCCTGAAGGCAAAACACGCTGGTACAAACCAGTAAATGTATCTGCCCGAATACCTCAGCCTTTTGCATATTTCTTGTCATCTAGGTCCCCTGCCACAATAAGGACTGGGACCATACTCTCCTTAAGCCTTTATTTTGCCGCTGATGTACTTAATGAAACGTTCCTTGCTGCCTTTATCTCTTCCCTGCTCCATTTCTTAAGCCACAGCCTGCCAGGCGTTCTCCCCTCCATGGAAGTCTAAGTGCCAACACACTACCTGAGCCTTATGTTTCTCAAGGTCTTCAGGCCTCAACCAATGCTTCTGCCTCTAACTTCCCTGGCATACTGAAGGACTGAACAAGAAGAAAGAAGCAGGACCTCACCCTTCTAGCTGTCCCATGTCAACATGCCCAATGTTAAAGCCCAGCCAGTAGCATGAGTACCACCCCTCCTGAAGGCCAAACTGGCAGGGCTGTGACACTGCAGCTCAACGTTTCATGATACACGTTAACTGAACAGCCCTCACATAGATTATGGAAGGCTTCTAAGGCTAACTGCTCTTTACTTCAGCCAGCTTAAAAAATGCATAGGTCTAATATAATCAAGACCTTCATTTTACACACAGCGTCTTCATTGCTCTGGAGGATCCCCTTTATGGAGACCAAAGACATTCTAGTTTTGGACAGTACAAAGTCCTGCTGGTACACTCTTTTTTCCACAACAGTATCCCATAGGAGTCTTCCAAGCAGATCCCTGAACAGGCCAAAGCCCACTCTCCTGAAGTCCAGGGTTGCAATCCTGCAATTCGCCTTGTACCTTCCTTTCAGGACCCTGAACTTCATCTCATGGTCACTGCAACAAGGTTGCCCCTGATATTCACATGCCCAACCAGTTCTTCCTTGTTTGTAAGTATGAGGTCCAGACACAACATCTCCCATCAGCAGCTCCTTGATCCTCTGTGTTAGGAAGTTGCTATCAACGCACCCCAGAAACCTGCTAGAAAAACCTGCTTGTGCCCTGCTGTGTTGCCCTTCCACCACTTATCAGGTTGGTTAAAGCCCTCCATAAGAGCCAGAGCCTGAAATAATGAGGTTTCTTCCAGATGTCTGAGGAACACCTCATTTACCTCTCCGTGACCAGGTGGCCTGCAGCA